ATATCATTTCAGAGTGATTTGAGGAACATGAAAACAAATGAACTTTAATAAATTAACAATTTTAGAAGAAACAAGAATTTCAGAAATTCTTATGAGATCTTAGCAATTGAAATGGTTTGTTAGCTATTGATATATAAAACTGAATGATTAACATTTTTTTTAAATATTTATTCTTAAAATTTTTAACTTCTTTTAACAAAATATTAAAAAAAATATTTACTGGTTACTCAGAATTGTTATAACCCATATTGCTGATTGGATTATTCACAATGATATTCTCGCACGGTCTAGTTGATGGCAATCATACGACTGTTGTAAAGTGAAAATTTATTGTACTTTACAATGAACTTTAATACTTTCTACGATAAAGTGATTGGTTTAGAATATATAATCAAATTATAAAGTGAGGGTCTAGACACTAATTGTATTTTAATTGAAAACTACATAGTTTTAAACTGTCCTCTATACGAAATATGGAGCTTAATTAAGCAGTATCTGCCATTCACCAAATTCATCGTTTACGTGCCACTCGGATAATGTGCCTCGATCCAAGGAACTTTGTGTCTGAATGTGATATCATCATTAGTTTCCACATTATGGCAGGGCTAATGAGAAAAAATTGATGTGTCAAAGTATGCTATGCAGACTGTTCGCTGTTATTAATAAATATTTTAAGTATTATGTTCCGATTTAACTGAATTAATAATTATAAATCTGTAGTGTTTTAAAATAGTATTTTAAACCATTTTCCAATATACTGGGGATTCATAACATGCAGCATGCTAAATGTATAGAACATTGGTTTGAACATTTACCTTTGGGCATTTGTAAAGAATGAAACATTTCTGAAAATTTGAATAACTAAGTATTGAAAAACAATGAGAGAAATTTACTCAAAAGCAGTTCTATTAACAAAAGTGTTGCAAAGAAAGATCAGAGGAAGCTCCAGGCACTAATTGTCAATGAAAAAAATTCAATATTAAGATAATACTAATACTGAAAGATGTGCTAAAATCTAATGGTTTTATTAGATATCGGTTTAAGCTGTTAAAACATGTATAGTTATGTTGTTTTGGATGCTTGAAATCAGTATTATACCTCTCTTAATTATAATTTAATGCTAAATGCCAGAATTTTTCTGGAAGTGCTTGTATGAAATCTTTGTACCATTAATTATTGATAATACATTACAAATATTTACTAATTGGCATCAACTTAATTCACTGTTAGTGATACTGTAAGATACGTTGAAATCTCAAACGAGATTACAATAAGTTCTACGATAAGTTCTTTCTTGTTATATTGTATTAATAGGAATGTTATTGTGTATAATTGGATTTGGCTTGATGGAATAAGGCAATGCAACATGTGGACGATCTGTCTGGGAGGATTTTCTGTAGCCTCCTCAGTCTCAAAAATGACCTACGCTATCGTTATTTTGTGTGTACTTTGTTATGAAAAACACACATCAAGCATGTGTTTGTTTAACACGTGGTATTACTGCTATTATCGAGTGTCGCAGTTGAAGAACGGTTAGTTAGTTAACCTTGGGTTAAATGAGAGGTAAAAAAAAAATTATATTTACGTGTATTATTATTTTCGTTGGAGTTATCCAGAGTGGAATATCCAGGAATAGACTGCGTTATTTAGTTTTTACAACCTGCCCTCTCCCCTATTCCTAATTTCAGCCATCTTTGTTCGACACCTACGAGAAAATTCGTCGTCTCATTGTGTTTGAACAGATTCTTTGTTTTCGTAAAGTTGGTTATGGACGACAGGTAAATAGATTCCTATTTGAATGCTAGAGGTTTCACAGTATGTATATGTCTAGTGTGTATTTCGTATTAATTAGATTGTACAGAAAATTGAACGCTGCTTTATTAAGAACAGTTCGTTCTAATACTGAAAAATTAAAAATTTTGTCAGCATTATATTAATAGATTACTTAAGAATTACATAAATATACTCCAATAACATAAAGGTAATGTAAAAATTGGTTTCTATTGTTTGTTCGAATACAACAAATATACCGTAGGTTAATGTGTCGAAATTTACGTGAAAGTACATATATAATTGATCGAAATTTGTGGAAAATTTCAATCAATAAATCCGTTTTATTTGTAGTTCACAAAACAAAATTTTAAATTAATTTTAATTCCACTATAATTGCTCGCTTTTTGAAATAATACGAATAAAAAATGTCCATATACTGTACTGTAATGACAGCTGAGTTAATAAGTATTATGTACTGTACAGTACGTTGTGGTATTAATATTAAATAAGTAGTAGTAAAGTTTTTGATACGTTATCGTATACACAAGATGGATACCCAATGAACTTTGACACTTATTACAATTACCCCACCCCTCATCTGTGGGTTTCAGTTAATTAACTACTGTGGTGTAACGGGCAGTAGGATTGTATGTGTGTATTATTCATACTAAACTGATATTTTATTCGTTCGAATTTGTAATTGTTTTTCTTGATTGATAATCAGTCAAGAAAAACTCGAATTGAAAAACATCAAGCCCGCTTCAAGGAGCCAAAAACCTTAATTTTAAGGATCCAAAAATTGCTTTTGGCTCCGTAAAAATCAGGTTAAGTTTGTTCTAAAACTGGATATTTCTTTAACGCGCAAAGGTTCCCCCCACCCCATTACTTACTTAAAATTATCGTAAACGCACGCGAAAGCTCGTATTTCAATTTTAGTAATGTTTAATTGTTAGATTTTTCAGATTGAATGGCGAGATTAACGCACGCGGACACGCTTCCCCCTCGACTAAATTGAACAATTATCGACGTGTGACGTTAATGGCACTGTTTAGCGATATCGGAACGGGTATGACATCATACACACCCTCGGTTTATCGTCGTACGCGGCGGAAACGGATCATTATGCCACGTTAAAGGTGCCTTCTCCTAAATTCTGAAGATAAATATATTTTAGTAGCAAGTTGGAGGATGAACTTCTGTTAAACCTGTTTTCGAGTTTGACACTTTTTTTTTCGTGTTTGTTACAGAGTAAACGACAGGTTTTCCACTGTCTAACGCTAAATTCATTATTCGAAGTTGTCGAATGCTGTGTTGACTCATTAATACCTTGATCTTTTGATACAAGGGTTGCATAACAGTCGAAGTAGCAGTAGTATAATGAATGTACAAAGTTCATGTGACAATGAGTGTGACGGGCAGAAGAAGTTGATTTTTATTCACGCTGCTTACCAGTAGTAGTGTTTTTCTTATCTCTAAACTTAAAATAAATGTTTTATATGGTTTTAGAAACTAATTTGCATATACAGTAAAAAAAAAAACACAGGATGCCACGAAACAGTATTTTATAATACACAAGGCCTTATTTATATTCGGGGACCCTCTTAAGTTAGTCGAGGGGGGTACTTCTACCAAACTAATAAATTTATAAGTCCGTGGCGTGAAGCCAGGCCCCAAGCTTTAGCTAGGGCCTTCCGCACGTTAAGTCGAAGCTTGCTTAAATCAGGCCCTGTATGTGACAGTTTTTATTATTATTGTTTATCTGTAATTAGCTCTGTAACGTTTGAAACTGTACGTATTTGTGTCTAGTGCGTCGTACGCTTTGTATAATTAGTAATTGCACGTACTTATCTTCGTAGAAAGCTTCGTTACTTAACGTTTCCACGCAGCAATTAAAGATTTCGATGATAAATATGTTTATCAGCGTGTAAGTCGCGACCCCTTAAAAGTTCGGCAACAGTCACGGCCTTCTACTGTTATAAAAAGGAGGTCGCCGACTAAAAATGGGAAACATTGATCTAATCAAATTCTATTCATGAAAATTTAAATGTAGAATGCTGGTTTTTTTTTAAAAATTCAGGTTTGAATGCGCTAAGGAAAACGTGTTTGGGTATTCCATTTCGTAGCCATTTTCCCCCTCTCCCCTTCTTAAAATGGCGGCACAGAGTTACTTTCTAATGAAGAATTTACTAGTTTTGACGGATACGAACCCGCCGGTTACGTGGTTTTTCGCATTCCTCGGTGGTTCTTATCCTCCGTCCGACCTCGTTACGCGCTAGACGTGCTCCTAATGGGCAAAATCGAGGCCGGCCCATGGCGTGCGCGGCGCTTGCGACAAAAATCTAGCTCATTTCTCTTCCTTAATTGGAAAAAAAAATGGTCGTAGGGTTTTAAATCCACGCGAAAATAATTCTCGTAGTGCCATTAAGGTGCTAACCGACGTTTCCGGTGTACTGTACGTCACTTCCGTTTAGCGTCACGTTGGATTTACAGTAGTACCTGCTCTATTTTTTTTTTTTTTCAATTTAAGAGGAATTAAATTTATATTTTAAACATGTTTTTTAAAGTACGATTAAAATTTTTTTTATTCCTAAAGATTTTAAACACTTATTTTAAATTAATTTTATAAATGATTGATTATAATGGATTTATCTCGTCGAAGATAAATTTAATTATTATTTTTTTTTCGGTAGAAAATCAAACTTGGAAATTTCTTTATCGTTTTTTTCCCTCTCTTCTTATTTTTTTTTAAATCTCCTCATTAAAGCGTTAATTTAGAAGCGATACCGTTGAACAGATAGGCATTTAGATGACACACAATTCTGATCTGATCGTTCTCGTTCCCTTCCTCCCCTTTTCTGATTGTGAACTGGCCTCGTAATTTATTTATTTCTGTATTTATTACTTAGAAAGTCGCAAGTTTCTCTCTCTCTCTCAGTAATACGGCAAACACGCTCGTAAATACCCTCGTTGTTTATTTTTTTAAATACTTTATTCGCGTAATTACACGAACAAAGTCGGCGCTTACGTCATACTTTTCGATCTGTGACGTTAATTTCGTCACCTGTGAGCTCACAACGGAAGTTTTCAATGATCGCGTTGTACTGTACTTTCGCTCCCCCTCTCTTATGTCTCGTTTTATTAACTTAAGTCACACCTCACGAAGCGTTTTTTTTTTTTTTTTGCTCTATCACATTTAAAACGCGAAAATAAGTCACTGGTTAGTGTTTTAAAAGCGTGTTCGACACAGCTGTGACGATAATCGGAGTATAGTGCGCACTTGACATTTCGGTTTGCCTTTAGGGAGGGAGCGCTTAGCTGATCGAAGTCACTAAATGTAGGGGTTGTGACCTCCTCGCCTTCGGTGATGACGTGTGGTTGGTTTTCGTAGCGTTTACTGGATACGTTGAACCGACAAAATTGTATAATTCATGACCTACGTTGAAGAATTGATCGTAGTGCGTACTCAATGTCTCTCTCTCTCATCCAGACGTTAATGCGTGTGACATATGTCACGTTATCGACGGGAATGTGCTGTGTTTTTGTTAATTTAGCTTATTTCCTAACATTTATTTAGCTTTTATACATTTACTTACTGTTGAATTATGAAAAAAAAACCTTACAAATAAATCGATATTTTACTTAATTTTAATACAGTAATATTGTTTCTCGTGGATCTTCGACGCCCGTCACAGTCTCTTTACGTAGTAAGTACAGTTTTTTTTTATATTTTTCTTTGTTATATGATGTATAATTTTAAATTTCTTAATATATAAAGTGGTAATTAAATTTATTTAATATTTTATGTAGTAGTTTCTTTAATTTTTTTTTTAAAGCGAAATATTATTTACAAATGTGTTTGTGGTTACGTAACACCTTTTTAAATTTAATGTAAAAGTGTAACTTCCCTCGGCACTAACGGGGTTCGGCCAGGCCATAACGTGCCTAAAACCGTGGATGTGGCGGAACGATGGGGACGGGATCCAATTCGTATAGCCTGCGTTTCTTTATACAGCGAGAGTCTAGCGAAATGACGTCACGAACAGCGTTGGCCGTTTAGATACGGGTTTCAGAGAGTTTGCCGTAAAGCACTTCTCGAGTGCTGCGTAAAGAAACGCGGCCTATTCGGGCCAACCCTTCGTGAAAATTTCGGCTGACTTGAACTTGAGTTCTAGAGTGAGGGTTTACTGCTTTGGATATTTAACCATTTCATATAAAAGCATAATATCATCCCTGCCCCTCACCATCCAGTCACTCCGTTGTTGGTCTGGCCATTCCCACGATGAATGGATAAAATGCCCTCTTGGTACACAGTATGGAAAGAGGTTTAAAAAAAAAAAACAACCTGCAATCGTTCAAGCATATTTAACAAATTTATTAAGTTCAATGATAGTTCTGTGTTTGAATTATAAATATTTAAGCTTCCTGTATCTGTCATCATCTGTTATCTTGATTGACGTTGACAGTGCTTTAAAATATTTATTTTCATTTACTTGTGTGGAAGTTGTGCTAAATGAAATAGTTATTTTAATGTAAAATTTTAAACTTCTAACATTGAATGCCAAACATCAATAACTTAAACAAGCTTTTGTCTGTTGTAAAATTAATACTGATTTGAATTACAAAATTGATAAAAATGAACATTTTAAATGCATTTGTTACATACTTTTGAGGGAGTTTTTATTGTAGACATTTTGAAAGTGAAAATTCTTTAGTAATTTTGTAATAGTAAAATTCAGTTACAGTATAATGTAGATCAGCCAAAGATTTTATTACAGCTTGAAAGTCTTGAACATTCATCCAGTTTTGATTAATCTCCATTTTGTTTTTGAATTCTATTTGAACAGAATTTTCAAAGCAAAGTGAGTGCAACAGAATTAGTATAATTGAATAAATAAATAAAGAAATTAATCATAATAAAATAATATTTATTTAAGATTAATTAAATAAAGTTAATTGTTTATTATTATAAATTGCAATGATGTAGTCACATTTTGTTTATTTACACGAGTTTTTGAACGACGTTTGGTTCTTAAATGATAGAACTGTCTAACATAGAAACATTTTTTATTACAAGAAGTTCTCAGCTTAAATTTAATAGAAATGTTTGTTTGATAAGATGAATGATAGATTACAAAATTTCAGGTAAAAGAATAATTGCATTCTATTTGTTTGTTGAAATTTGTGTAACTATTAAAACATTGGAGATTACACATGTCTGCCAATGCATGTGATCCACATTATATGGCAACATGGCAGTCTGTGGTTTAATGCCTTGATAAATATCTGTTTTAAAAAATTCAAGGTTAATAAGTCATTAATTTGCTTTTAAAAAATAAGTAAAAGTAAGTAATTTGCTTTTAATTATATAGTGAATGTCCAAAATGATGTCTTCCATTTACATGAAGCTGATGGCCTGAAACAACAAAGAATTTCAAACCATTAACAGAACTGTTATGGATAACTTCTTTAAAATTTAAGTTCAGTTAATAAGTTGAATGAAAATAAAAATTGCCATACCTTTTCTGATGGCTTGAAATGATTAGAGTCAATGAAGGAGTTGTCATAAAAAGGTAAAAATCTACAGGAGCCAAATTGGGAGAGTAGGGTAGAGACAGGAATATGGTGTTTGGCAAGGTATTTTTATCAGAACCCAAGATTTTGCAGCTCAGTTCTAGACATTTCTTTCTGATTGATTTCCATAAAAGCAATGTATAGTATATTTCTCAACTGTGTGACCATCAGAGATGAACTGTGTGCACGCAACTCCCTTATCATAAATCTTCAGCAGATTTCTCTCCCTTTTTGATCTGTTCTTGCATACTACTATTGATGCAAAGAGGATGGTGACTTCTAAGTCAAAGCCTTTGTGGAACATACACAAAACATCATGTTTTATTAAGAGATCAGGAACTTTATCAACTGCATCATTTCTCTACAGATGGATTGTTTCGTCTGTTGTTCATCTGTCAGTATTCTTGAGACAATGTGCTGGTAGACAATACATTTTGAGATTGTTGTGAAGGAACTTGTGGACCTAACCATGGAAAATTTTTTTGTCACATCGTCAATTCTGTTCAAATTTGTTTGCCTCTAATTTATTCCCAAATCTGATCAATTAATTTTTCATTTCACATTGTGGCAAGTCTGCTTGGATGCAAGTTGTCTTCCACAGATTCCCTTACCTTCTTTAAACCTCATGTATTACTTGTAAACCCTGGCTTGTGACAGCTTTGTTATCACTGTATATTTACCTGAGCATTGTTGTAGCAAATATTGCCTAAGTATCATTAAAAATTTCCACAGTTTGTAATAAAATTTTGTTAATTTGTTGTTCCAATACAAAGAAGCATATGATCTCTGACAATCCAGAAACTTGGCACTGTGAACTTTATGCATGCATTACTTTAACACACAGTGTATGTGCATCATTGCTGGTTAGTGTCCGGTTGAACCTGTCAAGATGATGACCAAGGATTTAAACATACGTTTAGCGTACACAAGGAAACCCACAGTGTTCCGCCTTTTATTTAACATGAAGGATTAAACTGAGGATGCTAAAGCACCTGGAATTTATCGCATCCCATATCATTGCTGGATGTACAAGCATGCTGACTTGTTTACTTATTTAGCATGAAAAGGCATGATCTTGAATTCTTTGCAGTTGCTGAGAGATTTGGATATTATTCTTTATCTTTGATTATATCCTACAATATTTAAACATCTAAATTTTTATAAATTTGAACTTTCTGAAACTTCTACATTCATTCTAGATCACCCTGTTTTTGAGTGGGGGAAATTTAGAGATCAACATATAGTTAAAACTGCTGAATCTGCAAGGATATTTTTTAACATTTTGCTCTTTTCTAAACATTCTAGTAGTACTTTTTTGTTTCATATTACAGTTGAACCACAATTTGTCCAAGCCCTGATTAACCAAGGTTTCTCATATTTGAGGCAAACCTGTAAGTGAATTCTTGAAATTCATAAAAGCTTTGCCATGAATGTATCAAGCATGTAAATACTGTAGTACCTTTAACTTTGTACTAAGCAAGTGGTTTATTCTGAGATGACTTCAATTGTTTTTGCCCTGTGGGTTCTTTTTCAATGCTCATTATGGGTTTAGACATCCCACAGTGAGGGAGGCCAGGTGATGAAGACCAAAGCTTAACCTATCTGGAACAGACCACAGAGATGTGAAAAGTGATGCTGAGATGACTGCAGAACAATGTGGCAAAGAAAGGACGAACTGCTATAAAACAAAAATCTCTTAAGGGACTTTTTTAAAGAAAGTTTAAAACAATAACATGTGTTGCAAAATTATTTCTTTTATCGTTCAACTTCAATATGAAGCAAACCATTCATAAAATGTAACTACAGCGGGTGATCAGTTATCGAACATATTCCGTTCCAAGACCATGTTTGCTATTCGAATTGTTCGTTAACCAATTATCAATTTACCGTAGATTTTTGTGGAAGTTTGATTTTGTTCTGGAGACCCCAAATAATAAATAAATTATATACTTACTTGCTATGTTTACTTACATGTAATAACAAACTAAAAGCAATCTTTCTATTTTTTCGCAGATAGCATGTCTTTGTTTTTCAGATGTGATTTTCGTTACTCCTTTATCTGCTTGAGTCTTTTTGATTGTCTTTCTTAGCTAAAGACTACCTACTGTAGACCTGTTGAAGTCATCTGCCTACAATATCAGACATCTGCCCACCTTTATGTATGCTATTATCTCTTTCCTAGTTTTTATAGTGAACACAGTTCTTGACACCACTCTATTTAGGCCCCATAATATTATCAGTTTTTTAAATAAAAAGTTCAGAAAACCACTTACAAAAATTCAGAGAACAGAAATCAACTAGTGCAAAAAAGGTCGTGTATACAACTGTGAAAGTCTCGTTCCATAAACCATGTATAGATGTCATTAAAATATAGTTTTACAAATTTTAAACGCAGTGTTGCTTCTTGTTTGTTCTATCAGGTGTTCGAATAACAAACATGTGTTTTGTTGTCCGAACATAAAAATCTTTTGAGAAAGTGTTCGTTGTTTGATTTATTCGCAGTCCAAACTGTTTGTTAACCAATCACCTACTGTATAATAATATACATTTTTATTCTTAAAGCTTTCATATTTGTAATTTTTAATTTAAAATGGCTAAACCTTTCATTTTTGAGTTTTCAGTTATCCAACATGGCATCAGACTACATTACTTCAAAGAACTGGGATTCTTGTACATTGGCATAATTTTTACATAAAGCTGCTTTCACTAGTATTATAAAGAATAGAAAGATTAGAATATCTTTATGCTTGTTAATTTGTGAGTTTAACTCTTGGAAATAAGTTGAAATTGATTGAAAATTTTTATTCCTTTGCATTACCACAACCACCACCCACCCACTACTTATTATTTAGACAATTGTTGTCATTTTCATCATCACCATTCTCCAGTAATATTTTTTCTGTTGGTAAATTGTGAGTTTGAATATCACTGTTCATTCACATATTCCTGTTATCTTTACATTGTTCTCAATGGTTGTTTTCATGTAAGATTTTTCCATATTCATTTTAATTTAATCAAAGTAATGTCTACTTTATTCAAAACAGTACTAACTGATAAAAAGTAACTTTTTCTTACTTTTTAAAAGCGATTCTTGATTGTGATGGCAAAATAGTTTATGCAGCTTGTGAATTTC